GGGGGAAAGTCCTGATACATCACATGATGACACCCAGAGGTGGTATTTACCGGTTTTCTGAACTATTCAAAATTTCCGCTACCGGTTCTCCAAAACTGATCAGAACCTGCTAAATACCACCTTTGGGTGTCATCATGTGATGTATCAGGACTTTCCCCCCTTCAGTAAACCGGGTAGGGGCGGAGGCAGCACGTGACGCATCTGGGCCGTGGGCCGCGAGTTTGACACCCCTGGTTTAGATGAATTACAGAACTTTAGCAACAAATTATTTTTTTTAGAAGGAAACATAACAGAAGCTGCTAGGAGAAGAATGGAACAAATAAAGTGACAAGTTATCAAGTGAAGGAAAACAGAGTATTTGTAGTATTAGTAATAGCAACAAAACTTTATCAGGATTTCTCAGGAAAGATATTGAAATAGGTAGCCAATACGAACAAGAAAGAATCAGGATATTCTGCAAATTTCTGTGTATTTCTTGGATTTCTGTATGTTTTAATTCCCAGTCCTATTGTGCAGCTGGAGGGGGAGGAAAAGGGTGTTTGTGTGTGTCTGTCTGTGTGTGTGTGTGTGTGTCCTACCTTGCCCATAGAAAGTCAAAGTAAAAAAATCCATCCATGAATCACACCCTGCAGATTTGGGGAGCCAAAGCAATTAAAAAAAACAATGAACAAAGGAAGACAAAACTATAGGAGCAAAAGCAGAAGAATCAGCATGTATGGACAGAGGCAAAAGATACCCAAATCTTCATCTTTTCCTTTTGCATAGAATTGTTTTTTCTGTTCAATTTTCCCAGTTTTTCTATTCCCTGCATGGTTCATATTAGTATTATCTTAACAAGATGAAGTGGCAAACATCTTTTGGGAGATGTTGGGGGTTTGGGGGCAAAAGCAGTGGTGAAATTCTTTTTTTTTTTTTTTTACTACCAATTCTGTGGGCATGGCTTCGTGGGCATGGAAGGGAAGGATACTGCAAAATCCCCATTCCCTCCCCACTCCTGGGGGAAAGATATTGCAAAATCTCCATTTCCACGCCACTTTGAGGCCAACCACTACTGGTTCTCCAAAACATGTCAGAACCTGCTGAATTTCACCCCTGGGCAAAAGGCCTTAACAGGTTGGGTTGTCCCCACAGATTCTGAATTTCTGCTGTGCTTTATTGAACACTGGGTTTTTGTCGTCAGTGAGCACAATAGATTCAAGCAGTACAGACAATGCATTCCTTATTTACACGATGAGAATGAGCCAGTTTCAACCACTAGCACGATAAAGATGTAGGATGGGCTTATATACAAGAGGCATTGCCTTCACATTACACACATCATCTTTCTACAAAGCAGTAATTCCGTTCCCCCCCCCCGACAAATAAAATATTAAATAATTGATAGATTTTTTTTTCTGTGCTTCCTGAATAGTCCACTCCAATGGAATCTGTATGAATAATGAAGGGTGTTGGGTTTTTTTTGTATAATATCATCACATAAATCCCCATTTCAGTTCCTAATTGTAACTTTAAGTCTGCTTTACAATGCAATGTTGAAATGGAATTCAAAACAACCAAGGGTCCAACATAGAAATTCTTTGGCAAATGTTATGCACACGTTCGCAAGCGGCTCTGGAAAAGAGCTGGAAGTCAAGTCACAGCCTGGGTTTTGAATAGGAAGTTCCAAATTCAACTTAAACTTCTAGTGATCATGCCAGACAAAATCAATTATTTTTTGTAATGTTATCTGTGTTAATGGCCTGAAGTTAAGCCAAAGGTTAGGAACAATGAGACACTCACCTTTTTTCTACCGATGTTATTTTTAAAAAATATGAATATCAGATCAAATTATTCCTGTTACTCTTTCCCTAATGATTTCCTGGGTCTGAGGTTTTTTTAAAAGATGAGATTATTCTTCCATTTTGGCATAATCAAGTTGAGGGAATACAAGCATGATCTTCAGGGATATGTTGGAAAGTTTTCAGAATGGCCCAAATAGCTATTCCCAATATTTTGGGGGATCCATATTTAATGCTATTGCGTGGGCAATTTTAAATATTACAATAACCAGATTATTAACTCTCTGTGTTAATGATAATTGGTTTTTGTTGCCCTTAATCTTAAAATTAATTTGGGATAAGATAGCTAAAGGTGTCATTGAAATGATTTTGGATTGCAAATCATTAGCAGGCTGTAGGAGGTATAAAAGAATAAGTGCATTTCCAGATCTTTTCATCTGGGGCTATCAATAAAAAATCTTTTATTAATTTAAAAAAAAACAGCCTAAAATGTAGATGATTTTTGTGATCCAATAATATCAACACATTTCAATGGTATTATGGAGAACAACAGAAAGAGTTTTTGGCTCATGGCAATGGTCATGAGTAATAGTCTCATGGAAAGGCTCTATAAAGCAAAATACAACCATTTCTTATAACCCAATAGTGACAAATTAGTTGATTTGCAAAGCCTCCTGTTTAAGTTTGCCTGAAAGTGTATCAAGGGCCTCCAGGTGAAGTCAAGATGTACCAAATGGGAGGCGGCAAGTATATTTAGTTCTCTATGAACACTTTCTCCCCTCTCTTGCCTCAAAAGCTCCTCATGAGAAGCCCTTGCTTCCCTTCAGAGGGTTAAACATTAGATATACACATGATATCATATTTTTCAGAGTATAAGATGCTCCAGAGTATAAGACGCACTTTAGTTTTTGGGGAGGAAAATAAGAAGAAGAAAAATTCTGCCTCTGCCTACCAGCATC